TCATGCTTTCATTGATGTTATTTGAAGACTGTCCTCCTCATGAGACTCCAGCCTTGTTAAAACATGTAGCACAAAGACTTAGGGTTGGCTCTGCCGTGTGCCGTGTGATCTCAAGCAAGCACCTTATTACTCTAAGCCTCAGTTTACTCATCTAAAAGTAGGGCCAGTGGGGGACCTCCTCAAAGGATAAGTGTGAGGACTAGTCAAACTCATATGGGAGATTCCCAGGCACTCAAAATATAAGAGTTGAATAGTTAAATGCGTGGAGTGAATCTGCAATTTCTTTCAGGAAGAGAAACAACCATCTGTTACATAAGACAAACAGAAACCGCTGTGTGTGTCTGCATAAAGGCCCCACGGCGCAGTTCAGAATCACCCTCCATCCCAAAGCAGTTGACTACTCAAGAGTTCACTTAAAAAAAACAAAAAAATCAGGCCTTTTCCTAATTGTGAGGTTAGAGACCTCAGGAAGAGGGGAAGCTGGGCTGAACACGGCCGACAACCGGGATTCTAAAAACATTTCTATTCAGAAACTTGAAGAGGAAAACCGATTCATCATGGATAATAGGTATCTTTAAGTCAGACTAAGTCAGAAAAATATGAAAATAGAACAAGATTCTACATCTTAGTGTTTCCGTGCTTGACACTTTATAGTGTTCAACAAATAGCAGCCATTATTACTACTACAACTTCAAGATCATTATTGATACGGTTCAGAGCAATAAACTTTTAGGTAAGAGAATTGCCTTCTGGGACCTGCACACCGTGGAGAAAATACCAACACTAACAATCTGTCCAGGGACTCTGTCTCCGGAGGAGAAACAGACCACATTTGGTGCGCTGTGGTGGGGGGTAAAAGAGAGCTCCGAATGCTCTTAGGTCATCCATCCGTATAAATCTTTTATATTCACCCATAAATTTCAATGTACTGGAAAATGATGAGGCTTTGTAAGTAGAACTCCAAAAATAGCTTTCTAGTTTGAAGGTCCTTGTTGTTGTTAAACCTTTTCTTCTTTGTTTTTTCCACTCGCTGTAGTAATAGTTTGCCTTTTAAATTTCAAGGGAAATTCACCTATATTTTCACATTTAATGCTTAAAACTCTGAGAGATCGGATGGGAAGATGACGCCTAATGTGCGCTTGAAGAATTCACTCTCTGGACATGGAGACTTGGCCACGGTACCCCACGTATGGCACAGTGGCCCTGAGATCTCAAGCCAGAGCTTGCCACCCTGCATTCTGTAACATTTCACTGCACTGCACGGTCTTCCCACTGGAGCTTGCTCCAGTGGACAATTGTGGCATCCTCTCTATTGTTGCGTATCTTAAGGAGGATGTTTTCTTGGTCTTATCGTCAAGGCTAGTCAAAGGAGGCATCAAGGTAAAAGCTTGGGGTCCAAGGGTTTTTACCAGTGCCAAAGTACAAAGATATGGACAGAAAAAAAGTGGAGGGATAAGCCAAACCGATAGTTGTAATATTGTGTAATAAACATTATGGCAGAGGTATGAATAGAAAATGATGACACGCTTCTTTCTACTGTTGGGATTTCTATCTACTCTCCTTATTTTCATAAATGAGATTTCTTGGGCCGGGAATGTAGCTCCACAGCACAAGCACCTGCCTGACAAGTGAGAAGCTCTGAGTTTGATTCCCAGTATCAAAAGAAAAAAAAATTATTATAGGGACAGCATATTATCTTGGTAATTATAACCCTTTTCTTGATAAGGTAAACCCAGATAAATAATCTATCTATAGTAAGGGTATATAATAAGGAATGTGATTGTTATGTTTCAAAATCAATAGTCGGGGTTACAAAAACAATAGAATAAGCTGCCAACAGGCATCTAACAACCATTTCACAATATGATTTATTCCCTTTCCATTTACTTTTTCTTTCAACAAATGTTCTGAGCATCCACAAGGTACTTAACATCAAACTATTATAATGAGGAGGGACGTGAGCTCTGTTGTTCGAAGCTCTCCTGGTCCAAAAGGGTAGGGATAATGGACAAGTCAAACTGATAGTTATAATACTGTATAATAGGCATGAGGACAGGTATGCCAGGATGCTAGACCAACACACAGGAGAGACGTTCGCTTTTAGAAAATTGCTTTTCACTTTCTGCTCCTCCTTCTTTTTTTCCTGAAGTACTATGGACCAAATTCAGGATCTCATTCACACTAGGCAAGTGCTCTACCACTGACCTACCCCCAGGCATTTAAATTTTTTTTTCATTTTAAAACTGCATTTCACTGAGACACCCAGGCTGGCCTTGAACTTGTGATCCTTCTGCCTCAGCCTCCTGAGCAACTCCGATCACAGGTGTGTGCCATAGCACCCAGTTCCGGGCCATCTTTAAAAGCAGACTTAGAATCCTATCTTTATCATTTGATCAACATCTTTAAATTTTTTTTCTTCAAAGGTGACTATCTTTTCTAGTATAAAATTTATCAGTTGGCAGCAAAAATCTTCTTAGTCATAAAAAAAAAAAATACACAAATGACAGCTTTTGTAGTCCTGGCCTCTGGTTTCAGCTAATATATGACCATGGCTGGTTTGACTCAGATTAATTACTAACGAAGTTAGGAAGTTCTCCCCAATTTGATCAGCCTGTAACAACTGAAACAAACAAATCAGTCCCATGATCCTGCTTATTGTCTGAGATTCTCCCACAGGGATTTATCCTGTTGACACGGCTCTTAATTATAATGATACATTTCTTTGCAATCCACCTGCATTATTTCGTTGCAAAGTGAACCCACTGGCTTAAGGAAAAATTAGTCATGTCCTAGGCTTGATCCTCATTACCTACCCAGGACTTATTCTTAGTAAAGACAGAAAGAGTGTGGGCTTTGGTCATTCCACTGTTTCTCTCAGAAGCTGTCATACCCAAAAGGTCTTGACTGATGCAGGGTTCTGCTGGGCTTTCTTGGGTTACCCATCTTCAGCAAAGTACTGAAGTTGGAGGCGCTAGGATAGAGAGAATGGGTTGGAGAATCAGAGAGCCTGAGTTTGAAATGTGGCTCTGGATCTTATAACTTTTTATCACTCTGACCTTCAGTTTCCTTATGGTAAAATGGAGATAATGACATTTTCCTTGGGGACTTGTTGCAGCCTTGCCATTAGAAACATGTAAAGCACTTAAGCTGTATCTGACCTATGACAGTATTCAAAAGGTTTGTTTTGTTTTTTAAAAAAAGAGTGTAAAACACTTAGGCTGTGTTTGGCATTTAACAAGCATTCAAGAAAGTCTATTCAGTATATTCCAGTAAAGGGTTCACACACCCACATGCACACACGATAACATACACCAAGCAAATTTCACTTATATGTACTTTGAGAAGAGAAAGAGCATTCATTTTCACTAGCTTCTTGAAAGATTTCTGTCTTTGAAAAAAAGATGAAGTGTAGACTCTCAAAAAAGAATTTGGAAGTTACAAAACTAGTCTGTGGTGATGAAAACATTTAAGTACAAAGATCATATTTATTCCCAAAGACTCCAGACCAATTTTACACAGCAGTTTCCCAGTAGGAGGTCAGGGTATGGAGCAAGGGAATTTCATTTTTTTTTTTTAATTTACGAAAAGACAACTATTAAAGAAACAGTTATTACAATTTTTCTTCCTGTTCAAATTTTCTTATCAGCTTCAGAAGACTGTGAAGATTCAATAAATGTCTGTAAAATAGTTGGTGGCAAGTCTGGCCTACATTTAGTGTTCTTTTTGTTATTACTATCCCCATTGACTTCTTGCTTTTACACTCCTAATTTGGGGAGGCACTCTCGGAGGGTTGTAGTGGAGAAAGAGAAGGACATATACATATTGGTATGCATATTTATCAAGGAAGACTCATTGCTGGCCCCACCCCCAAATATATATAAAACATATAAATATAAGTGTAAAACAAATAAATATATTTATATGTTTTCCATATACTTATTTTTTCATTGCTGGGGATTGAACCCACCAAAGGGCCACACACATGCTAGACAACCAAGCACTCAACAACCACTAAATTACATCCCCAGCCCTTTATATCTCTTTTGGGAAGCTCAAGGACACAAATCTCAAACAAATAACTAGAATACAGGAGTCCAAATAAGACCACTATGAGGGAAAAGCCCATCAGCACCCCCCATTAGTTTCACTATGCTATATTGTCTCAAATTCCATCCTTAGAAAAAATTCTTTTGGAACGCTAAGAGCTCCTAGGAGGACAGCAAATATTCTCAAGGGGTGGATCACCTCTCTTCCCCCACCCCAAGGAGTTAGCCAATGAAACCTCAAGATGGTACTTTCTCAAGGACACTAGTTTCTTCACTGTGGCTCAAGACTGAGAAGGTCCCAGTGGGGTGGTAATGGTAGGGAAACTCAGAGGTTCTCCCAGGGACAAAAGACCCACAGGAGAGTTCCCTAAGACAAAGCAGAAGAGGAAGGATTGGGCATAAAGGCGGAAAATGCCCAAGACAGACTTCCTTCCTGGAGCCTTGCATCAGGCTCCCTAGTTGGGGATGATAGTAGGGGGTAGGGCCCTTTCCAGGTTCGAGCAGGGGCCTCACCCTGGGGATGCAGAGGTTGACTGAAGGAGATGGCCTCCGAGGAGGTGAGAAGGGTAGGAAGGGGAGTGGGTGAGGGGGGAAGACAGGGCTCAGCCTGCAGCTTTCGCTGGCTGCCAAGTACTTCTGCGTTTCCTCACCCTCGTGGATTCCACGAGATAAGGAAGCTCTGGCACCCGGCCGGGCATCTGTGATGCAGGATCAGGCCAGCCCTTGCACGCTTCTGAGTGCAAGGGCCATGCCACTGTGTGACCTGACCGGCAGTTCCCTCTGCACCCCTGAACTCCGAGGGCGTGACCCGCAGTCTGTGAAACAAGGTTTGAGAAGAGGACCGCTCTGGGAAGCCCAAAGGAGCGAAGACACCAACGGTCACCCCGCAGTTCCCAAAGGAGGGTAAAGCGACAGCGGGCCACACTGGGGCCTCGCCAAGGGCACGAGGCTCACCCTTGAGGGAGTCGGGCAGCCGCCGGGCTTGGGTGTCGTCTGTGTGCCGCTTCTCCATGCTGTGCGAGCCGGAGTCCCGCTCTTCTGCCGCTGGCGCTGGCTGTCGCTGAAGCCGAATCCTGGGGAATGTAGGAGTATGCTAGCCGACTTGCAGCTGGAGAGCCTAGCTGCAGCCCCGCCCCACCCCAGGCCACGCCCTCAGGGCCCAACCAATAGGCGCCCAGCATCGAGGAAGCCTCGCCGTTGGCCCCGCCCCCGAGGGCAACCTTGTCTGGGGCTCTGGTGGCGGCCGAGGGGCGTGGCTTGAGCTGCACAGCGCGGGAGAACTGGGTCTGGAGTCTGTGGCGCGCTACAATCTAGGCGCGCAGGGCCCCAAACTGAGGGTGACGGGGTGGGGCCGGGTGGGACGGTCTGAATAAAAAGAGCAAGTAAGAGAAAGGCCATTAGAGTGAGGCTTCTACCTCTGGTGGAGGAATAGGGGGTGGATTCATGACCTTGTGGGGTCCGAGGTGAGAGCAGGGTGCTGGACTTGACCCTGGTGAAGAGGATCCAATCATCTGCGCGGCGCGAGAGGGGAGGCGGTCAACGGACCATCTTTCAGCCAAAATGAAAAAAATTCTAGTAAGATGTATTTATGTGCGAGATGTATTAAGCCCCAAAAGGAGCACCTGGCCTGTGGTGGAGGTGTGCTCACTTTTGGGGTGCAGGGAGCAGGCCTTGGTTATGTTAATCTCTCCGGGGGGGGGGGGGGGGAAGGGGGGGGGGGGGGGCGGCCCGAGGGGGTGGGAGCGGGTGTTTCACACGCTGAAGTCCATGGCCATTAGCATGCGGGCTGCTCCAGAGAGCTTGGAGCTTTTCTTTTCTCTTCCATGTTAATCTCTCGGGGGGGGGGGGGGCGGCACCTGCAAATAGGCCAGAGCTGTATTGTACCTCTCCAGGGGCGCTGCGAAGAAAATAGCAGAGGTGGTCCACTTTGGTTAGGGGACCAGGGAAGAGGGAGTCCATAAAGAGATGGCTTGAGACGCTGCCTGGAAGAGAAAAAGCCAACCTAGGCTAGGGCAACCAGAGGGGCAGGAGGGCTGCAAGCCTAGGCGAGGGGAAAGCCAACCCAAAACTGTCCCAGCCTCCAGCCTTCTTGGCTGAGGATGACTGAAAAGCACACTTTTTTTTTTTTTTTAATTTTTAAAAATTGTATTTGGTATAGGGTCTCACTACGCAGCTCAGACTCATAGTGATCCTCCTGTTTTCAGTCTCTCAGTCCACTCTGATAAGGATGATCATTGCTTGACAGGATAGGCAGGCTCTGTCTAGAGATTGATAGAAGCCTGGTTCAGGCTCTGAAGAGGACTTCAAACACGAGCAAAGAAACGTTTATATTCCTAAGAGTGTTGTACAACTCAGTGGGTCATGTTTATTTGCCCTCTGAAGAAGACAAAGAGGAGAATACAGTATTTTAATGATCCCTCCTGTCAAAAATCATTCTAGAAAGTCCATGGCTTCGTATTTTCCATTCTAACCAGAAGGAGCCCTAGAGGCCTGAACTCCCTGTTTATGCTGTGGTTCCCAGGAAGAGAGGAACAGGTGCCCCAGAAACTAAACTCTATTAGAAGACTTCATTGCAAACTGCACACTGCAAAAAAGTGTTAGGCTTCATTTTTGCTGGAAAAGAAAATAATATTTCCAACTGAATTTAATGTCTGCATTCCTCCCTGCTACATTAGCTCAAGTCTCAAGGCAGTCCCAACAGCGTCACTTCTGAACCTCTCCCTCTGGGGCAAAGATTCTAGTAAACACTTACAGGCACTGGTTTTGGATTGCGTCAGTTCTAGAGGTAATTCCAGGCCCAAGTTAAATACTGATTGATGATGATAGTGATGACATTAAGATGTGGAGATGGGGGTTGAAAGGATGCACCATGAATCCATAATTGAATAAATCAGAAGGGAATTCAATTAGTTTTTTTTTTTTTCCCATGCCCCAAAGAAATGCTTCCTTAAGAGCAACAGGAAGGGCTTTCACAATTGTTTCTTTAAAACCCTAAGCCAGGCCTTTTGTGGCGCCTCGAATGAAATCTGCTAATCAGATACCTTGTGGGAATAACAAGAGCAAGTTATAAATTTGTACCATTCTGCTCAGGATGGGATTAATAAATGTGATCTGTTTCTTTACATGGATTGATTTGCATTTGTTGTCCTGTCAGGTAGCTCTTTCTCAAACTGGCTTGCCAGCTAGGATATTACTGTTGCCTGCCTCTCTTTCTGGAGTTAGATTTTGCATTCTCATCTTGAGAAAAGAATTGAATGAAATGAGCAAAAAGCGATGACAAAATGTATTTGGAAAAGTGAAAGTGATGGGTAAGAGAGGAACAGGCTCTGTAGAGCAAGCTTTGGCTGCATAGAAAAGAAGAAAGTAAGACAAAGGAAAAAATAAAACACCCTACAGGAGGCAGAACAGGCTATCCTGATGAAAGCCAGAATAGCAAGCCCTTCTTGGCATCTGTGTTTCTTTTGTTATTATTTATTTAATATATTTGGCACAGGGTCTGCAGGGTCTCACTATGTAGATTGGACCCAGTGATTCTCCTGTTTCCAGCCTCCCAAGTGCTGGGATTACAGGCATGCACCATCACACCCAGTCTCAATCGTCATCTCAGTGCGCCCCCAGGGGTGGAACTGGCACGGCATGCCAGGAATCGAACCCCAGTCACTGCACTCTGCCTAAGCAGGAGCTTTAGTCTGCTGAGCTATCTGGCCAGCTTTTTTTTTTTTTTTTAATTTGTCTTTTTGAGACAGGGTGTCACTATACAGTTTGATCTGGCCTTGTGTTCACTTTGTAGCCCAGGCTGGTCTCAAACTCACAAAGGTCATCCTGCCTCAGCTTCGCAAGTGCTAGGATTACAGGCATGTGCCACCATGCCCAGCAATGTGTGTCCTCCTGTATTGTCCAAATCTTGAGGAAACCTGCAAAAATTCTACATACAAGTCCCAAAAGACAGTGCTGGGACCCATGGCTCAGGCTGACCATCCACATCTAAGCCATCCTATTGAAGACCTGCTGTAGTTCTCCCTAGAAACCTACAGGAAAGGCTTTGAGAACTGTTTCATCTGTGTTCCAGGTTTTCTGATTAACTTTCCCGCCCAGCTTTGCCACACCCTGGCCTCTTATGTCATTCCAGTAAAATTTTTGACTTGTCTCACTTTGAATCATCACAAGAGTTGCACCAGAATGTTTTATGTATTGAGGTGTGGCAACAGCCTGGTTACACCACAATACCTGCTAAGATACGGGAATTCAAGTTGTCAGTCTTAGGAAAATGTCACATTACTGTAACATTGGTGCCATTTAATAGAGTTATCTAAGGGAAGAATCTTATTAATCTGTTTTACTTATAAATTCACTCAGCAAATAGTTATTGAACATGTACTATGTGCTGGGCATCATACTAAGTATTTGGGATACATCAGTGAACAAAAAAAGCCCAGGCCCTTTCCACGTGTATTAGTTTTCTAGGGCTTCTGTAACAAAGTACCACAAACTTGGTGACTTAAACAAGAGAAATTTGTCTTTCCTGTACTTTCTTATACTTCTAGAAGTCCAAGACAATGTGGATTGGTTAGTAGGTTGGTTGGTTTTGTCTTTTTTTTAATATATGTATTTAGTACAGAGTCTACAGAGTCTCACTACAAATTGTAGTGATCCTCATTTTCAGCTTCCAAAGCGCTGGGATTACAGGGGTGTGCCACCATGCCCAGTCTCAGTCACTATCTTAGTGCATCCAAGATACCTGGGAGGGAACCCCCTGTGCCTGTCTGAGCAAGCGCTTTAGTCCACTGAGCTATCTAGCCGACCCTTGGTTTTGTGTTTTTGAGACAGGGTTTCACTATACAGTTCAAGCTAGCCTTGAACTCACTATGTAGCCCAGGCTGGCCTTGGATTGATGAAGATCCTTCTGCCTCCCCCTCCCAAATGCTAGTATTATAGGTGTACACCACCATGCCTGGGTAAATGTCGTCTTCTTATGAAGACAGTTGCTACAGGGTGTGGTGGCACATCTGTATAAACCAGTACTGTGGTCCTTTTATATCTGGTTGTAAACCCCCACCCTCACAACTTTACACTGGACACAGATTCTAGCCTCAGCCTGTTGCTTTTCTTAGATCTTAAAAATGCTTTCTTTTGTGTTCGCACAGTACCTGAGAGTCAGAACCTCTGCCTTAAAAATCCACTAACAGGAGTGGGACTATTGACTGGACAGTCCTTCCCAAGGGGTTTTAAGATAGTCCCCACTTCTTCCAGCCTAGCACTGGCAAGAGACATGTTAAAATGGAAGAAAGAGGGCATTCTACTCTGTAGATGATCTGATGCTCTTCTGGGGTACAAATAGCCCCGGAGATGAGTCCCTCCTTAACTCTCTAGCCTCCTGAGGTTATGAAGTACCTTGGCAGAAGGCCCAAATTAGCTGGTTCCAGGTTACCTATTTAGAGTTGCTTATTTATCAGGGCCCAAGGGCACTAAATTCAGAGAAAACCCAACCCATTCTGGCCTTCCCTTTGCCAAAATGTATCACACAGCTGAAAGCCTTTCTGCAGGTGAGTGGGTTTTGCAGAATTGGATTCCAGGATGTGCTTAGAAAAAGGCCAGATTCCCCTTATCAACATCTTACCCAGTCCTTAGACTTCCTAACAGCAGCACAGAGAACACAGCTAGGCTGAACTACGTAACAGCAAAACAGACAGAACAAAGACATCCTAACGACAACCTCACTTAACTCAGTTACATCTTTATAGCGCTTTTCTACAAATAAAGTTACAAGCTGAGCACTAGGATTTCAGCAAATAAATTTTGGGCAAGTAGTTCACTCCATATTATTACATAAGACTACTTCTAAACTCTGTCTTTAGGGTTTTCTTTTGCATTGTTGGGGATTAAAACAGACCCCATATCTTTGTCTTGCCTGCTTTCTCCTTTGCAGTATACAAAGACATCTGTATTTACCTGAAGATTGTGTTCTGTTAACGTGATCACCTTTCTGGGCTTGATTTACTTTTAAGTAGTACTACAAGGAAAGCTGATGGTTAGGAAGGATTACTTAGAATGTTGCTCCACCTAGTGTCAACTGTATTCTACTACTTTTGTCAAAGCGATAAAGGGGAATAAAAGGGAACTGTGT